CTGCAGGGTGATGCTGTCCCCATGCTCTGCGGCATAGCTCCTTATGGTGCAACTAGATCTGGCTTGCAGATTGGAGAGTCGAAAAGGGCAATGCTAAGCAAATATGTACCCTTTAGACTAGGGGAATGAATGGGTTCACAGTTCTCTTTCTGAAGCCAGGCTCTAGATGTTTTCAGGTTGGACACCCAAAAATGGCCACCTGAGAAGATCTGGGTCAATGCTTTGAGAAACACATGTACAAGGACCAGCAAGACATCCAGCCCTGCAGAGCTAGCAACAGTAAGACACAACTAGGGCTCAACCAAAACCAGCGTGTGTCAAACTAAGGGTGGGCAAGTCAAGGAAGCCCCCTGAGTGACTTCCTGCCCACCTAGACAAAAAGCTTAAGCACTGCTAGTAGGTGCAACACTGAACCAACCTTTGTAATGGTTTAAGCCCAGCCAGTAACTCAGAACCTTGTAGGCATAGATTACTTGACCTAATAGGTATATTTGACCTAAGGTACAATTAAATGTGCTGTTTACAACTCCTTATTCTTGGAGTTCATAAAATCTCATATTTCTGTTCCTAACACAAGCTCCATTACTGCTGTATTTTGAATTTTAAAATCTGATTGAAGACAAGCACATTTAATGACTTTTACGCTTAATTAAAATAATTCTTATTAAAACCACATTAGAATAAGTTACTTTTTGCAATGTGCAATATATATATATATATATATATTTTTTTTTTTTTTTTTTAGTGTTAACCTCTTTGATTGTACAAAACAATTTGTCTTCCAAAATTCATTATATGGCAGTTTCAGTAATTTAATTCTGCAGTTAGGGTGGTTTTGCAATCCTGCACCTACTTCTGGTTTCATCCACTATTGGTCAATCCCACAGTGCTAATATATGGATAAGCCAGCACTGCAACAGCTTCAGCTTGTTCTTTATATCTGAAATGGCTGTATTGCTTTAGGCAACAGACCATTGCATTCTATTTAAACTTCACATATTTTTATTCCTTTCTCACCTTACTTTGCCTTATGCTTCCTTTCCCCAAATAATTAGCAAGGTGTAATGTGTTTATGGTATAGAATAACATCTGAAAGCTTCCAGTTAATTGCTACAGTTAAAAGACATACACAGCCCCTCCTTGTTTTACTTATTTTTAAAAGAAGAGTAAGCTCTGGCATTCACTACATACTGATAAGCAACATTTATCTACCCTGAGGTACCTTTGCTTATTCTGTTTTGGATGATTTTTTTAATTGTATTTTTCTCACCAGCTATGAACTTGTTTTCTGTCTGCGTATTTTTCCCCATCGTACATTTAAGATGCATCTGCTGTAACTAATATGATGTAAAGAGCAAGCTTATATGAAAAACAGCTTGTAAATTTAGAATAATTCTGCAGCAATCACATAGGTAGAATGGCTTATTTAAGAATGGCTTTGTCCCACAGCATGGAAACCATTATATTTTTATAGCATTTAAGGATTTTACCTAATATCCTCCTGATTCAAACAAAAGATAGATATTTAACATAGATCTCATCTATGTTAAATATACCTCATAATTTAACAAAATATCGGTAAGATCATAATAATTTTCCTGTAACACAAGCCAAACAAACTTCTTAGCTGAACAGTGATTTGATTCCGAGCCTTAAAATTTGTTTCCAAAGAGAGGTTCTCATTTTCCCTTGTAAATTGTCCAAAAGGACAACAAATGCTGCAGTTCTGTAACGAAAGCCAGCCCTTGCCAGGAAGATGCATCAGCAAGATCCAGCTCACAGGTCATAATGGTCCTGCTGTCTTCTTCCCATGCTGACTGGGGCTCTGACAGCAGCCAAAGGGGTACCTGCGGGTGCGGGTCCATCGCTTTTCCCAACACCTATACATCCTGCCCATTTGCACAACAGGCTCTTTATCTTGGGCACCATTATTTACACCACTGAAATACGTAACTGAATAGGAAACTCTAGGCCCAACTAATTTAAACAGGCAGGAAGCATATTCAAATTAAAATCTCGTCCTCTTAAGACTGGCATTGAACCCAGAAAATTCTGCTCTTGAAGCACACCAATAAATCCCTGCCACCATGGTAAGGTAATGTCATTTTTTGCCCCTTTGGACAAAGACATATTGCTGTTTCATGCTAAAGAGCCAGATGACCTTCAATCACCTCCTCAGCAGTGCTACATTCCAGCTCCACCTTGCCACAAAGGTTCTGCTAATAATTAATTAAATCTGAGGCCATAACAACACAGAGCAGCCACCAGGGTCTCCTCCAAAGAACACAGTCTTTGCTATCCTGCCAAGGAGGGAGATCATTCATGACCAGATGTGACACTTGTCAAATTGGTGCTGGCTTTTGATTAAGAAGCAGGACACCAATGTCCACTTCTCACAATGCCTGGTGTTTGGTCTCATTAGGTAGGGTGCTTACACCAAAGGATGCTCCCTCTATCCAAAAATCCAACAAACTGAAGTCAGTAAACTACAAATCTTAATAACAAGAGAAAATTGTTTCTGTTGCAAAAGTACCAGAATATTATTAATTATTATGTGTACAACAGTCCTCCTTAAAGATCCTAGTCACTGGCTGGAACACTGCCGTAAGAGGTCCTGCACCAGCATGCAACATTCTTTCCTCACGGATCTTTCCACCTCCAAGAAGGCAAAAAGATCTTTGAGGCTAGAAATGCCTTTTTGTACAGGACACAAAACAACAAAATGGCTCAAAAGCACACTTACAAGAGATGAGAGGGAGTCAATAAATGACAACAACCACCATTTATTTTTAAACCTCCACCTTTCCAAAACAGCAGGTATTCTGCTGCCAAGACTTCAAAATCAACTCATTGCAACAGCAGAAGGAATGTCATACAAGCCACTTCCTAGATTTGCCAAGCCATACGGCCAGTTCCACGAGCAAAACAGAGTAGGATGATGCTACTAGGAAGAGCAAGGTGATGAGCAGCTGGAGGGAGGAGCTGCAGATGTTTGCAGGATACACAGGTACCTTTGTCCTCAGACCAGGACGATTGCTAAAGCAGACATGCCAGAAAGCTATCCAGTTGCATCACAACAGTCAACAAAGTGGAGGCAATTTGGCTCTTAGAACAATGATACTTTGGCTGCATCCAGATGATAAAACATGACCTGAAAGTCTTGAGGACACTCATTAACACCCAGGAACACCCACCAGCTAATAGAACACTGGCTCAGCATTTGAAAAGCTTCCAGCTGCAGCTCTTTCAAACCTGCTGGCTGAGCACGGACAAGCAAGGATCTCACATTCTCTTTCTGCAAGATGAGATAACACCAGCACTACTAGTCTAATGAAGTTTGAGTGAAATGCCATGCAGACAAGGCTGACCTGGTTGCGGTTTGAGAAGAGGCTTGTTCCGTGCTAGCCTGTATCTGCACCCTGCAGTAGGGATCGCCCTCATTCACATCAGTGGAGTGGAAAGCTACCTGCATTTCCCAGGTACAACCTCCGACTTCAGTGACTCAGGTATATCTGTTAACTCCAGGCAGCTGATAATAAGCCAAACACACATTTCTTTTGAAAATTCAAGCAGTTTTAGGAAACTGACAAAACCAGACCTTGACTGCATAATGCCATTAACATGTAAACTTGTGCTCTGAATAAAACATTTCTTCAGACATCTCCCAGGATAATGCCACAGTCATTTAATGGTATGTCTCCTGGACTGATAGTCCTGCAGAATGGAATGGATACATCATCCCACAGCAGCAGCAGATCTATCCTGCCCCTCTCCACTGGACACAGCTGCTGTGGCAAATGTGCTGCCAGGCTCCCATTTCTTTGGTTTTTTTTTTTCCTAAGCTTTGGTCACGCATGATGGTTCTTTAATATATACATTTTATTGCAACCCTTCACATTCCTCTTCAGATTATCATGTGAAAGAAAAATATACGAAGGAGTGACACTGGAAGAATAGTTGAGAAAAGATCTTTTAAAAACATAATAGCTGCTGCAGTTATGCAGCCATGAAAGTAGCTCTGAAACCTTCTGTCTGCATGGAAGACACTAGATCTATATTTAGCTCAGAGCCACGCATCCTGCCGTAGTGCCAGGCACGTGAAAGGGAGATACTGCAACACAGAAAATCACTAGGGCAAAATGTTTTGGTCATCAGGGCCTTCTCTTTTCTACAGCAGCTGAGACTGTTCTCAACCAAAGACAGCAAAGACAGCTCAGGAAATGGAGGATCATCCCAACCATTCTCCTATTGAATAAAATCCCATATGTGCACGTCACTCTCCAAGCCACTACTACCATGATTAACAACTTCTTTCAGGAGTAAATTCTTTAGCTCCAGTGGGGATAGTCATGTCAGAAGCCAGAATTACACCATGGACCTAAATGCAGGCAACAGAACTAGCTAACAATTTAACTTTGGGTAGATGTACAGGACGGTATAAGGAGTTCCCTTTTATGTGTAGGTTGCTGTCCCATAATGAGATACAGAGAATGTACTTTTTGTCCCTAGATGGAATCTGGAAAATACTTTTGGCTCCACACATGCACCTCGCACAAACATGTACAGCAGTGTATCTGCACCTGTTGCTAGCAGGACACACAGATTGCACCTCACAAGGCAGGCTCTGCACACTTCTGTCCCAGCATTCAGGGTGCCCTCTACTCCCTGGTGCCACAGTGAGGGACCCATGAGCAAAGACCCAGCTAGGACATGTTCTGCACCAGTAAGCAAAGGATGTGGTAACAGCTAATTCTGCTCACTTATCATCCTCAGCTTAGAGCCGACCATGGCAGTAGCTCAAGACAGGCTTTGCATTGGTGTGACTATCTCCTGTTTCACCATATAGCAGAAGGATGCTTTATACCAGATGGTTTCTACTGTTAGAGTTACAGTCACACAGCAAATTCTCTGCTCAGCTTCATTTGCAGTAACAAAATGATGTTACATTGGCCACTTTTCCTGCCCAGGACACTGGCAGCCTGGGAATTGACAATGCCTACCTTAACTTCCACATGTGCCATCAGGACCGCAAAGTTCGTTAGGTGATTGCAGGAGCATGTGGTGTGTGTCTTGTTAGTTGTCAGGAGGCGACACCCCTGGGTGGACCAGTACCCTGTCATTGTACGCTTTGTATAGCTCCAGAATGAACAGTTTGGATTGAAATTTTCTTCTGACTGCTGCAGGGAAGAAATGAATAAATGCAGTAAAAATGATAGGGTTTCATAGATTTCTAAATGCACTATTTATTTTTTTCCAGAGGCACTCGGTAAATCTCACCCTTTAATTCTGGATAAACAGTCAGCAGTGGTTTTATACGTCAAGTACTACTTGCTGATACCAACAAGTTAGATTGTTGCTGCTCTCTTTGCTAATGCAAACTTAGTTCTTTGTTCTTGATTAATTTCAGCCATAGACTAAATCCAGCTCTTCAAAACCAGATTGATTCATTTGCATTGCAGAACAGAGAAATTAATTGCTTTAAGCAATCAACTTTTGCAATGACTGCGCTTGGCTAACAGGAGGACTAGCTGTCCTCTTTCACTGTAATTCCACTTTCCTCTAATATCCCCTGCCACCATGATAAAATAATATTATGGTCTAATATATTGGTAGTTTTTAATTACAGAATGACGTGTGTCAGCATCTGAGCAATGGGCATCGGTTTGAAGGAGACTCTACTTTTATTAATGCAGCATAAAAGAGATTCTTCATAAATAACACAAAGTGCAAAGGAACAAATGTATAATTCAAAATCTAATCAAGGACTACTTGGGGCCTCACATGAGCCAACTTTTGCATCACTCTGTTTTAGGAAAAGAAAAAAGTGCTTTTCAAACTCACTCACCTTGATGTGCTTGACAGTAAACACCACGGGATCAGCTAGGTAAACCTTATTGCTGAACTCTTTGTTTATTGCTGCCGTGATGACAGGGGAGTTGACAATGACGGAATGATTCGTCGACATTGCTTCTGTTCCCAGTTTCATGCTGGCATTCTCCGTGGAGAGGTAAGTGCCCAGGTTATTGTACAGCACAAAAGCTACCCTGATTTCACCTAGAAGAGTAGTAAGAGGTTAGACATCCAGGTCAGTGCACTGGTTTGGTTTGGTGGTTTTTTTTTTTTTTTTTTTTTTTTTTTGGATGAAAAATATCTCTCTTAACCAACTTCAAAACTTTTATGAGAAAATGTGAAAGGACCAAGATGTGGCATATGGAAACTCACCTCCTGTCAATCCTAACGAGCACCATGAGGTGCAACAAGTGGTTCATGGATAATAAGGGCAAGAGCTGCCCCTCTTAAACTTCTATAAGCAAATAGATCAGCAGAAGACAGACAGAGAAGGTGGGCTTGTTTTTCGCATTAGTAGGTGTAATTAGCTCCAGAGAAGAGAGGCCAGGTGGCCCATTTCCCACCTGACATAATACTTTGGTCTCCAGGCTATGTTTGGGAAACATGTTTCATTCTGGCCTGCTGCACAGAGGCATTATAAAACTATAATTTAGTTTGTTAATTAAGACTACCTCAGAAATGTGTGGGTACAAATCTGGGAGAAGGAATCCAAAATTTTCCAACAACTCCAATCTCATATGAAGGATAAAAAAAAATTGCAGAAATTTCATTTAGAAATGTACTTTTTTTTGTTAATTGGCCTATCAGATATCCCCTCTTCCACAAAAAAAAATAAATCTTCAGGGAACCTGCAGGAAACCCAGGCTACCAGCCAACTGTTTTTAACTGAAATCATCCAGTTTGCCTTCTGTTTTGTATATTATTTCACAAGCTATAAATAAGAATTGAATGTGATTAGTTTGCCTTTATATGTATCAGCTGGGGGGAGGGATTTTTTTGTTTCTACAGGAATCACCCCAGCTTCTGAGGAAAGTAAAGCACTGATGACTCCAAAGGTTCCTCCCAACCTAAATCCTTCTATGATGATTTTATTTCTAGCTCTTTGACAACCTCCAGGTGGGTGCCAAGCTGGTGAAAATGGATGGGGCTCTCCTGATATGACTACATATCCAGTGACACCATGCTTAGAAATACAGACTTCCCCTTCCTCACTGCCATCACTGTTTCTCTTTCTGTAAAACTCTCCAAAGCCTGCTAGTGGCTCCTTTCCCACTGGAGTTTTGCTACGTATCTTGGATTTTACACTGTCTCTAAAGAAGCACTTCTCTTTAAATTCTACATGCAAAAGTACCAAATTCCAAGAAAGCCAATGGCAAAATTTTCTTTCTGAACCACCAAACTTTTTTCTCAACAGTTGTCAGAAATTATTGGCAGTTTTAGTGTATCTGGTCTGACTATAATACTGCCCAATCATTCCATGTTTTGCCTGCAGTGACCAAAGCCCCTGCTAGAGTGCCTTCCCCTGGTACACAGGTTGAATTTTAAAGGAACTCAGACAAAGGGGCATGTTAGGCCCATTAGTAGAAAGCCTGGGAATTTGATTTTGGTCTGCAGCAGAGCTGTGGAGATCAACAAATGTGTACAAATTCCTGGTCTGGAAATAATGACTTGGCAGCATGAAGACCATTCACATGCAACATCAGCTTTAATTTATGCTATATCAGGAGGTTCATAAGATTCAGAGAGAAAAGCACTGAAGATTTAGACTCATAACTGTTAATCGACCTCTTCTGACATTTTGGCTCATTATTAATATTTGCTACTATTATTTCTTCCCTCTACCTTTTTCAGATATTTGTATAGTGCCCCACTGTGAAGCAGTTTACTCAGACAAGCCTCTTAGCCCATCTAAAGCTTCCTACTGCCACAATAGCAGTTAAAAGCACTTCTCTGGACTCAGCACTGTGCCCCAAGCACATTTAAGGATCTGATGCGTTTTTACCAGCACATAATACTTTTGAAGGCTGTGATTCACTTAGTAATATAATACACCCCAAATCAGTCAACTTAATTTGCAGTCAAGGCATTAGCAACTGGTGCTACCATTAACTTAAATATTAACATAGCAATTAGTACCATATTTGAGACTGGCTAAAAACAAAACAATGTCTAAAGTATAGCTGATTCATGAGGCTGGAATGGCTGGAGGTGGTGACCTACCGTTTCGACCATTTTGTTTCAAGGTATTTGCTGACAGCTGAATGGCACTCCCATGGCCCATGTTCTGGGGAAACTTCAGATCCTCCAGATTCCCATCTGTGCTTAGTCTTGCAACTTCCAGCTCTGTTTGCAAGAGAGATCAACACTAAGAAAAATCTCTACTGAAATAATCTTCGACAAGATACTTCAAAGCTACAAAATGATGTTCCAGACCATCTGAGAACAGAGGATTCTATTTCCAATACTTCAAGCTAGATTTGGTTTGGGCTTCTATTGCTTTTTAAATCTTTGCCCTGAAGAAGTTTTAAATTTAATTAAAAGAAAAAAAAAAAAGTGCAAATAAATTCTACTCTCTGTGGAAGACAAAAGACAACCAGTTCTTGTAAACAAGAACCTCAGGATATTAAGGACAATGGTTAAAATGAAAATCTGAAAACACTAGTTCTTTGCCACTGGCGATTGGTACTTTCAGTAAATGTTATCAGTGCTCAGGATCTGTATTCATTGAAATAGAAAGAAGAGTTGTTCTCATTTAACATATGCACAGTGGGAGTGCTGTTGCTTTCCATCATGCTTGTTTTTTAATTAAAATCAACCATCAGCTGAATAAAGACACAAATTTGTAAGAAAGAAACACAACCACATTATGTTGAAGAATCTTCCTGTGAAGCAGTGCTCTCATTGCTCTAGTGCAGACTTTGCCCTCAAAACCAGGGGTAATAGGGTCAGGTTAGGTGCCCATTTTGCATGGGATTTCAAGGGCAGAGAGCTGCTTATTCCTTTAGGCTCTTTTGGAAAGACTTTAAAGTCCTTCAGAAAGCGGGCCAAGGCATATCTAGCAAAACTGCTCTCCAGTTAATCGAGGGTCCAAGATTGAAGCCAGGTTTCCCAGCCTTTACTCTCCTTCCATCTGCTGTCAGTATTTATAGGATCTGTCCCTTACGGATGTTGTCAGTGTTTTCCCGGACGATGTCGGTCTTCAGCAGGTTATCAGCCAGCACAAAGGCACTGTCCTCCACAGTGTCGAGTAACTTGGTGGCTGCGCGCTGCTGTTCACTTGCATTCAGGTCCCTCCATGCATTCAGAGCCTGTGGCTGCAGGAGGTTGTTCACTGTCTCCACCATGGCCTGCAAGGGAGAGAGGTCAACTGCGAAAGAGTTCTAGCAAACCTGAAGCACCACTGAGACCACTGACATATGCTCAGCCCCATCCTCCACACACATCAGTTTATAGGGAGAGGACAGCATCTCATTTCCCCACTCACTGGGGCAGCCTGCAAAGGAGCTAGGTATCATTCGTCCCATCAGATGGGAGAGGGAGGAAATACTAATTTTATTCTAATTGCAGGCTGGGAATAGTGCTTTTCTGCTTCTGTGATCAGTAGCTCTGGGCTTGGAATAAGAAGGAATTAAGGGTTCGGGCAGGGGAACAAAGGGGAGATGATGAAACCATTAAAGAAACATGAAGGAAAATAGATTTCAAAACCTATCTGTGAAGCAGGTTGCTGCTTCCTGCAGCAGCAGAATTCAAGAGTAGATCAGGAGCACCTAAGGAAGATATCTAGTATCTGCAAGGGCTATGCTCCTTGGAGCATTTCCCACCACATAACCTCTGGCAGGCAGTCATGGAGATACAGAGATAGCTGAGCTCATCCCGAGAAGCAGCAGGTGACCATAGAGATTAAGTTAAGACACTACATTTCAAATTGCTCCATTCAGAAAGGAGTCAGTCCTGCACTAACAACTTCAGTCCCTCCTGCAGTGCACCTCCTGCCCTGGGCTGCCACGCACAAAGAGCTCTCCCATGGAGAACTTCCCACAGGTTAATTTGGATGCATATCCAGGATCACATGAAACCATGCTGGCCCCATGATGGCAAAATTACAGCAGCAGAGCCTACCCAACCTGAAGGTTTTGCTCAGCCTAAAACCCCCGCTTAGTTACTAACCAGAGCTGACTCAACTACCTTCCAGCTATCACTTTAATGAGACCAGCTGTACCAGTTGGTAGAAATGACTGTGCAGAAGAAAACGAAAAATAAAAGGTACTTTGATCATGCTTTCTTCTGCTGGTTAGTGTCTAGCCACCAGGCAGGCCTGCCCCATGAACAAACACCTCCACTCCTCCACTGCCAGCTAATACAGGATTTCAACATGCTGCAAGCCTAAACAATGCCCCATGGTTTCACTTTCATGGAAGTACTTCAGTATTTATTCCTGACAGTATTTCTGAACCCACCTGTACAACATGACATATGAAAAGAAGATATGGCATAGCACATTCTCCAGCAGCCCTCAGGAGAAGTGTCACAATGGCAACACATGGCACGGAGGGCATCCTGACTCACTCACCAGTCATGGTCAGATACAAATGTGCAATGGGAGAATATAATCACATTCAACAAGAATTTGATTTTATTGCTAAATCAAGGTGACCTTACAAATTTTTCAATTACAGCAAGGTTCAAGGAGAAGCAAAGACAGCTAGACCTGCCACTGCCGGTGCTTTTAATCCCCAGCAGACATTTCATTTAGACATTGCAATGTGCATCTTTATCCTAACTATATTTGAGGTCGGAAGGTTTCTTATACTACCATGGTTCTTATTGGAAGACTGAACCAGAATTGGGCTCCTCTGACAGTACAAAGCTCCTATTCTCCAAACTACATTTACTCATGATCAATTAACTCAACTGTTCTTGTGTCACAGGTCTCCTGTACCTTAAAGAGAGCTTCCCTTCCCTGGCACCTACTGCCCTGGTCCTTTCATTAATATACAACATTTCTCCTGAGCTTCACAGCTTGGTTTTCCAAGGTATGGAGTAACCCATGCTTCAACCAGTGAAGCAGACCAAAAAGGCTGAAAATCTTGCCCTCTAATGCTACTGCAAAAATATTTTTGCTGTCAAGCCTTTACAATCCAGGACTGGAATCCCTTTCTCATTTGCTGTAAGTGGAACTTATTAACCATAAATCAATTTCTTAAACTGATTATTAAACTGATTTTCCTAAATAGACTATAAATCATCTTAACACATTTAATATGTGCACATGAAAAGCTGACTGACTTTAACAGTGAAGATGCAATAGTAAAAATTCACAGCATTTAAGTGAATTTTCTTTTTTTTTCTTTTTTTTTTTTTTTTTTTTCCCCCCAGTGTTTTAAAATCTGAAAGCTTGATCTCTGTAGCTCTTAATAAAAAAATTCTGTAGTTCACTTTGGTAGCTTATCTCATAACAAGCAAAAGGAGGTAGTATTCTTTTCCAGTGATCAAACAACTTGACTATTTTGCTGTGCAGGTTCTACACAACATGGTGTTTTCTTGCAAATATCTTTTATCCACAGAAAGCAGAAAATGCGGATTTTTATTTTCCTCCCCTTTCAATGTTATCCTGCAGACTACGATTTACCTTACATTCATTTAGGTCAGCTGTTACTGACGTCTTTAAATCTCCTAAAACAACTTCCTGGATACTTTTATCAGTATTCGAATGGTGGAAAGAGTGTTTGCAGCATATCCATCTCCTGGCTCTGGATAGAAAGGTAATGCCTATTTGTCAAAACATGAAACAGATGCTGAAATATTTGTGTTATGGTGAAACATCTGCTGCAAAATTTTCTTCCCCAGAAAAATTATTCTAAATTATCAAACGCATTTTTTATTTTCTAATGTGTGTGCATGTATGCCTGCATAATTTGGGCCAATTAGGCCTAATGTGCCACTTTCCACAAAATATGTGTTCCCCACCCAACAGACAGTGGTGCTGGTAAGCCTTCATCCTCTTGAAATAACTAACCTGAAGCCAGACACTCCACATCACTTTGGATGTGGGATGTGGGGTCTGATGCAAAAGCTCCAGAAAGATTTCCAAGGACTTTGGGTCAGGTCCTTAGCACGTATCTGAACAAAGCTAGTAGAATGTCTTCACTGGCATTATATTCAAGATGAATTTAGTCCATAGCTTTTCCCAGAGGGTCACTTCCCTCACCTGTCTCAGTGCATTAATCAAGTGTTCCCCACACTTCATTATGGCTGAGTGCTGCCGGCTAAAGCCAAGGAGATGAGGTGCTAATGAAATGTTTGCATTTTGGACAGGAGCTGAGGTAGGTGTTTAAATGAAACAAAACAGCTCTTAAAGCAACAATGTCTCTTGAGACAGAGATGTCAGCTGGGAAAAGCTGGGCAGGGAAGCCGGAACCATGGGAAGGCAGGCACACAGGACAAGGATCAACCTGTGTCTGCATTTAAGCTGAACCACAGTGGTTTAGGTGGGTTTGTCACATGCTCCAAGGACACTGTGGTCTGATCAAGCTCTAGAATAGAAGACAGAGTGTCAAGCTCCCAGGAAAGCCTTCTCAATGACCAGTGGTAGAAGGGTTAGGCCCAACAGAAGCCCTCTGAAATGAAGAAGGCGTGAGATAGGTGTGCTTGGGAGCCGATGGCATGACAGATTTTTCCTGAGATCCCTGGTGATTCTGATAAAGATGGGGACTTTCAGAGGAAGCTAGGAAAGTTCTGACCTGGTTGCATCCCACCTCACTTCAAAAAATTAATACAGCCAAGTCAGGAGCTCAGACACCCTCTAGTTTCCTTGCCCCACTGAAAGTATAAAGAACTACAGTATTATCCCCATTTACCTGTCCAAAGGCACATGAGATTAGTCATCTCTGAAGATCCCAACACCTAATAAAGGGTATTGCTTGTCTATGTCACTGAAGACCCCATCCTTGCTTACCAAACTAAAGGACTTCCTCTGCTGTAATTTTCTTCTCTTCCTCTGCCTGATTCCTCCCCTTTTCTTAATGCAGCTCAACAGGGTAAACAATTTCCAAAGCACCCTTGTGAGCCTCACCCAAAACAAAAATGTGGGGTTTGGAGCTCAAACGTACCTTAACATCATTCACAGCATAGCACTACCCATAGCACCTTGCTGGGCCTTAACAGATAGGCAGCACAAGCACCCATATGCCCAGAGAGGAGGACAACAGTAACTCAAATTACATCAAGGGAAAGCTTTCACAAGATATAGCTTGCTTGTTTGTAACCTAAGATCAAAGGAGGGAAGAAGGGTATGGCAGAAGGGAGCCAAGAAGAAAGATTTTCCATCTCCCTTTCTATCCTGAGATATGTAGATGTAGTTGTGTGATGTCAGGGTATCTATACATGCAAAGCCAAGCCCCCTAAATACAAGACTGTAAAGACCAATCATCCTGGGTCAGAGAATATTAGACTCAGTGGACCTTTTATGTATCTAGCAGTAGCTACAATTGGACATTGAGAGAAGAGCAAGAACATGCCAAGCATAGAAGACAAATCCCATGATAGTGATCCCTTTCACATTATGCAATTATATAGCACCAGAGAGTGTGCATTCAATGTAAATAAACGTTAATAAATTGCAGAGGGAGACATTTTTTCCCAAATAAGGACATATGCTCGTAGTTTCTTGATTCTGTCCTGAGGTTACAAAACAGAAACAAAATGTAAACCTTCCTTCACAGACACACAAATTGGTATTAAAAGATGTATTGTCAAAAGGCAACTAATTAGGAGCCTTACAGTAATTATATATTACTAAAGGTCAATTGTACAGATCTCATAGATTTCCTTTGTGACAGCTGCTTCATTCCATAAAACTAAATTTTGCTTGTTCATTTATTTTTATTTTCTCCCCCTCTAGAAACGCTTGGTGAGAATATCCAGCTATGTGACACACAGTTTAAACCCGGGAGGGAAGTATATATCCAGTGACACCACATCCTCTTATTTCTTTCACTGTATCAACATACAAGGCACTGCTCTTTGACAGAAGCAGATTCTGTAATGTAAGACCTGTCTTTAACTGGGAATCAATGCTGGAAATCACTAAGAGATATTAGATGTACTCACTACCAAATTTGGGACCAGACTGCATTGTGCTATAGCGCTTAAGCACTGTAACCCTAACCTTAGAAAACTAGCAGGTCTCCTGGAGTTAGGACCTCTCTAAACCTTTATTGTTCATTTTGGCTTCTCACCAAGCAGCTGATGGAAGAACAAAACCCCTCAAAAACTTATTAGAGGAGAAAATACTGCTTCATGACAAGTGAATACCAGCAGGCCCTACAGGGAATATTGATTGAATCCT